TATATCACATTATTTTTTATAGTTATCTCACTTTATGTTTTTTTCCATTATTATATTTTATAATTTTGTAACTAAAAATGTGTTTACCATATTCATGATATATCTTTTGTTGAAAAAAAATTTGTTTTAAAAATACGTGTCAAATCTGGTCATCACTAGTCTCCATCTAACTCACTACTCATTAGTCCCTAGTGGACCGACTTTACTAGGGCCTAGCGAGTTTTGTAGATAAAAGAAATGGCCCTTTAAGCATAACAAAGTTCCATTTATGCCCCTCAACTACGGACTCGGTTAAAGAAGCAAACCTTATGGACTTGGCTAATGAAGCAAGGTATTTTGAGTGAAATTCAATTCTTTTCACGTCACTGAGAATCTCATTAATTCGTTCCTCATGCACATTGGGTGAAGAATATCCTGCCAAAAAATACAAATTTATGAACACGTCAAATAACATATTTGTAATATATTCAAACAAAAAATGCAACCCTTACCATTTTCAGTAATAAACATGGGTTTATTATTGTACCGAATCTTCATATGGTTAACAATCTCCTCCATGCCTCTAGGAACAACAAATATCCCTTCTACACCGGTCTATTTGTGCAACAAAGTAGACACCATAATTATTAACTAAAAGGAAGAAATAGGGTTGCATAAAATTAAGCCAAAAATCGTGTTATCCTACAGGTTCACCAATCAACATGCCATCACGCTCTCCAACAATGTCCACAAAACCCCGGATTGCACGATTTGCAAATGGAGTGCAACTAGCGTTGATACAATCCTTAGCATATATAGTGGAGTAATGGTTGATGCCAATAAAATCAATACTATTCTTCATAAACTTCTTTTCCTCAAGGGAGAAACTTGGTAATATACTTCCAAGGTATTTGTGCATTTCTTCGGGGTAGTCTCCATATATTGAAGGATCAAGTGTCCTGTTTAACCATTTGAAGTTGAATCATGTTTTTTGTTTTTTTGTCACCAATGTACTTTTAAGAACATTACCAGCCAACATTGAAAGCAAACACCCTTTTGGCGGCTTCATGATCGAGCTCACTGTCCGTTAGTGGTTTGTACATGTAACAGTGCACAACGAGACCTATCAATCCACCTTGTTTAGGCTGCAATAAAAATCCAAGAGGTGAAGTTGACAATTAAGGTCAAACGAACAAATGTCATTTCCTTAAAGATCCACATGAATGTTGGATAACTTCATGCAATCATTTAAACATTAAAGGAGAATTACACGATTGCCATTACATTATCATCATTTTACCTAACAAAGTATGGAGTAGGATCAAATGAGAACACTAAAAAGGTTGAGAACGCGAGAACAAAGTATATTCATTTGTGTTTCCATGTATTCATTTGTGGAGGAATGATAAATTTTTACGCATTTAATTTCAATTGAAGAGAAAAAACATATTCATGTTGATTGTGCGTAAAATTTTATCATTTCTCCACAAATGAATACATGGAATCACAAATGAATATACTTGTTCTTGCGTTCTCAACCTTTTAGGTGTTCTCATTTGATTATTTCCAAAGTATTATGTTTTTTTCCAATAAAAGAGAATGATATAAAACAAATTGTCCATTCCGGTGTATATTAACCTACAAAAACCAGTAACCGTATTAGATTTGATTACATGGAAAGATTTTAAATGGGTGGCCATTTTAAATGGGGACCCTTTTAAATATGTTGCAAGGCAAATAAATGTCCCTGTAAAGGTGTTGAAGTGTCAGAAAAATGTCCATCGGTTTAGCACATACTTTATCAAGATATTTCTTATGTCACATTCACATTATATGTAAGCTCATTAAAGATTGTCATATAAGCAAATTAAACTTGGTAACCACTTTTTGTAATTCAATAATGGCCGAAATGATTAAAAAAACAACTTTTTAGGTAAAACATTGATAATGTAATGATTTTTATGTAATTTCACAAAGTCTTAAAATTAGTTCGATTACCTTGAAAGTTTCATGATATAGCTTGGCTACCTTTCCATGAGCCAACAACATATTATGCATAGCAATAAGAGGTTCCACATCAGAATTTACAACATTGCAATTTCCAAAAGGCTTTGAACAACGAGAAGGTGGAAATAACCCAAATTCATAAGACAATTCTATGAACACGTTAGGTTCATTAATCGTGATCCAATACTTCACTCGATCTCCAAAAAACTTGAAACAAATTTCTGCCAAATGTACAAAGTCTTTCCTGACACCATAATGCATCCAATAAGCAAAATGAAAATTTGTGTAAAGATGAAAATGACATTTTTAGTCATACTGCATTTCGGGGTTTAGCCAAGACCCGGACCCATATATCTCTTCAAGTTCATGTGGATAATCGTTATGGAAAAGTGTCACAAATGGCTCGATTCCTGTATGATTTTAATCAAGTTTTAATCTTTTTACAACTAACATCACAAGTCATTGATGAAATTTGGAACTCATGCATATATAGCACCTTTGAGAATCAGGTTGTCTATAATCTTGTTGTAGAACATGATTCCTGCAGGATTAACTTCACCAAATCTTCCTCTTGGAAGAATTCTAGCCCATGAAATCGAAAATTTGTATGCTTTTAGACCAAGGGAATGCACCATCTCTATGTCTTTCTGTATTCAAAAAATTCAAACAAAAAAAGTTGGAAGTATAGAAACTGTTTTTTGTTTTTGATACGAAAAGTCAATTGAAGCTGGAAATATACCATGAACAGATGATAATGATCATCTGCAATATCTCCATTCTCTGAATTTTCTCCACATCCTAATAAAAACGAGGATGGATAATCAATAATGGATTCATCACTACAAATTCAAAAATGAGTTCATCATATAAACAATATAAATCAGGGATTCTATGGTATTAACCTATGGAATGACAATATACATCCCAGTTGCTTAAGGACTTAGCATCTTCGAGATAAGCTCCTTCAACCTAAAAAAAATTCATGAATTAAATGTGGGTATGATAATGAGCAAGAAAGGGGTAGAATGAGGAGATTATCGACTTGGTAAGCAGAAGTGGCAACTCCAAAAAGAAACCCGGGTGGGAAATCGGATCTTTTGATGTGGGGTTCTTCTTTTTCTTCGGATATGAATTCTCCATCGCCATTGTTAAAGGCTTCAAAAAGTGGAGCAGAAACAGAAAAGAGAAAGAAGAAGCAGAGAGGAATAGTGGGTGATTTCATTTTCATACCAAAACGAGAGAATCTTTTGACATATTACTATTCAGCCAATAAATCATAGAGAAAGGTTCGCTTGCTTTTTTTTTCTACAAAGATCGGACTAACTAAAGTTTTTCTAAAAGGAAATATACTCATCCAATAAGAACATGCCATATGGAATCCTGAGAATTACATTTATCTATTTTCTTGATAATACTAATATGATAAGTACGTATTATTGAATAAGAAGTTTGATATGCACTTACTGATTGGATTCCATTGTATAAGTTCAGCAAACTTTATTGTCGTTCAATGAATTTGGGAATTGGTTGGATTCCGATTAACATAATATTACATAGACCCTAGTCTTGCTTGTTCATTCCAACAACACAATTTCACAACTGTTTGAAGCTTTCTTTGAGTTCATTTGGAGAAGCAACAACTCTTCATTTGAATTTTGAGTTGAAGTAATTTAAGGTTTTGATTTTGTGTTGTAATGAGTTCGAAGGTGTTAGGGCGTGTTCGGCACGGAGCGTTTTGGAGCGTTTGAGAGCTTCTAGATTTTAGCGTTTGACAAAACGCTCCGTTTAAAACAAAAAGCCTTGTTTGGTACTACAAGCTTCTAGCGTTTAGTTTAATCAAAACGCTCCAAATCCAAATGCTACTTCATGTAGCGTTTAACAAAACGCTACAAGCTACAACCTACCCGCTACATGCTACAAGTTATCCGCTACCAGCTAGTTTTGCCGAACACGCCCTTAGTTGATTTTGTGTTGTGATTAGAGAATGTATTTCCAAAAA